AACTCTTGCTAATAGACTATTTGTTCTGTTTGATCCTTTGGGTTATTGAAGATCTCTTCTTTTATAGAGAGGGAGAATGAGTTCCGCTTCTTGGCTGTAAGTTGCTTTGCGTATGAGTTTTCTGGTGCTGATTTTGAGTCTGTTTCAAGACTTAAAAATTCTTAGTTCGTTTACTCAGATTGTTCCTGAGGCTTTGGATGGCGCTCGTTTTACTAATTCAGCGGTAAGTTCTTATTAGACTATCTATGAATTGTAAAGTTTCTGTAAGCTTCTTTTAATTGATGTTGTTTCTTTGTTTGTGGTGTAGGTGCTTTGTGCACGTTATAGTGATGAGGAGTACTTTCAGATCAGATGCAAAGGTATTAGTTGGTATGAATATCCTCCGATAAAAATCAACATGAAAGGCTACTAGTGCATTCAATGAATAACTCAATACTTGTTTATATTATTCTATTTTATATCCGTTTATTTAAGTAATTGAACAAAATTTAAAAAATTTCACATAAATGAACAAAAACATGAATATTAATTTGATCGTTAATTTTTGTTCGTAAATATATTTATCTATTTCTCAAACAAGTAGCTCACTAATAGCTCAATAAATTCTTATTTAATATTGATGTAATTACTTATTTGATTATTTATTTCAAGTTCTTATATCCTATGCACTTTAAATAAGTATGATGAAATAACATGCAAATAGCTAAATATATAGATTAAAGTTATTTTTTATGAAAATTTGAAATTAGGCAAATAATAAAAATAATATTTAGTAAATTATATCAAATTTAATTTAAACACAAATTGACTAGCAATAAACATATATGTTTAAATCATTTGCATTAAATATATAACGTGTTAGACTCGATTAAAGCTCAATCACAACTTCATCTCAATAAGAAAATAAATAAATAGGTTTTAACAAGATTTTAAAGCTTGAGTGTTGTTCAAGTTCAGTTTAAACTTGATAAAACAACAACAACATCAAGTCTTTGTCCCACTACGTGGGGTCTGCTACATGAATCCTTTTACGCCATTGTGTCATATTAAAAGCCAAATTCTCATTTAAATCTAATAAAGAAATATCATTTCTAATATTTTCTAACCAAGTCTTTTTAGGTCTACCTCTACTTTTTTAACATAGGTCAAATCTAATGCCTCAGCTTTCCTAATAGGGTCATCAGAAGGCCTCCGTTTAATGTGGCCAAACCATCTAATGTGACTCTTTCTAATCTTACCTTCCACTAGAGCTACTCCAACCTTACCACGTATATGCTCATTCTATATCCTATCTCTAAGGGTAAAGTCACTCATCCACCTAAGCATCCGCATCTCTGTAACACTTAACTTAGTATTGTGCATCTCTTTTAATGACCAACATTTGGCACCATAAAGCATTGCAGGTCTCACCACCCTCTTATAGAATTTTCCCTTAAGTTTGAGGGGACTTTTCTATCGCACAACAAGCCCGAAGCATTCCTCCACTTCAACCATCCAACTTAAATTCTGCTGATAATATCCCCCTCTATTTCACCATCACTCTGAACAATATATCCAAGATATCTAAAACTTGTTCTCTTATTAATGACTTGATCGGCAAAAGTCACCATCCCCTCACTAAGTCTATTGTTACTAAAATTATACTCCATATATTCAGTTTTAGCTCTACTCAAGCAAAAATCTTTAGACTCTAAGGTTGACCTCCATAATTCAAATTTACCTTCAACTCCCTCTCTAGTCTGACAAGAAGAATATCATCAGCAAAAGCATACACCAAGGTACATCCTCTTGCAAATGTCTAGTGAGAACATCCATGACTAAAGCAAAAAGATATGGACTTAAGGCTAATTCTTGACGTAATCCATCCGAAATAGGAAAATACTTGGTCAAACCACCTTGTGTTTGAACACAAGTAATAGCTCCTGCATACATATATTTAATGATTTGAATATAAGCATTATTAACTACTTTCGTTTCAAGAACTCTCTATAGTTCTTCTCTTGGAACTTTATCATATGCTTTCTCTAAATTAATAAAAATCATATGTAGATCCTCCTTATTCTCTCTATATTTCTCCATCAAACTTCTCAATTATTGTATGGCTTCCGTAGTAGACCTACTCGGCATGAGTCCAAATTGATTTTGAGAAACATTAGTATCATGCCACAACCTACGCTTCATAACTCGCTTCCATAGTTTTAAAGTATGACACATTAACTTAATTCATCTTTAATTTGCACACTCATGTGCATCACCTTTATTTTTAAAAATGGGAATTAACACACTCAATCTCTATTGATCTGGCATATTTTTAGTCTTTAAAACAGTATTAAAAAGTTTAGTAAGCCAAGCAATTATTTCATCTCCTAAGCATTTCCACATATCTATTGGAATATCATCAGGTCCAACAGCTTTCCACACTTCATTTTCTTTAAAGCCTCTCTAACTTCGGTTTTACTAATACGTCGATAAAAATAAAAATTTTTATTTTCATTTAGGGTACTAAAGTCGCTAAAGTCAATCGTATTTTCACAATTTTCATTAAAAAGTTTAGCAAATATCTCATCCACCTTTGTTGAATATCATCTTCTAAGGAAAATACTTTTTGTTCTTCATCCTTAATACACTCCACTTGAACTAAATCCTTACTACTTCTATATATTTGTTTGGCAAACTTATACATATATATTTCTTCCTCTTTAGCATCTAATCTATTATATAAATCATTAAAAGCTAAACTCTTTTAATCTCAAATAGCTTTCTTAGATTTCTTATGAGCCTCTTTATAGCTTTCTCAATTATCCGAATATCTAAACCAATTTTTATAACAAATATTCTTATTTTTTTATCTTTTCTTGCATATTTTAATTCCACCACCAACTATTTTTACTATTATGAGTTTTTCCCTTCGAAACTCCAAGCATATCTTTTGCAATAATCTTAATATCACTAGCCACTTTTTCCCATATAACATTAGCATCCTCATGCACAGACAAAATCTTAAGATCTAAAATCTTACTCTAAAAATTTTTTTGTTAATATTCTTTAAATGCCCCTATCTAATTCTAAAAAATTATTTTACTTTATTTTTTATTTTTTGTCTTTTTATCTTAAAGTTCAAAACTAATAATCGATTTTGGATACATAAATTTTCACTCGGAATAACTTTATAATCTTTGCAATCTAAACGATCTAATTTTCTTATAAGAAAATAATCAATCTGTATTTTATTATATCCATTTTTATAAGTGATAAGATGGTCATCTCTTTTCTTAAATAAGGTATTAGCTATTAAAAAATCATAAGTTAAAAAAAAAATCTAAAATGGTCTCACCACCTTCATTTGTCATTTCAAATTCATGCCACCATGAATACTTTTAAAATCATATACCTTTCTACCAACATGTCCATTTAAATCTCCTCAAATAAAAACTCTTTCTTCAAGAAGTATATTTTATATTAATTCTTCTAAGTTATTCTAAAATTTTAGTTTTTAATCAATATTCAAACCTACTTGAGGAGCATAAGCACTTATAATATTAACAATCTTTACATCAACAACAATCTTTAAAACTATAATTCTATCTTCAATTCTGTTAATTTTTATAACATTATCATTCAAACTCTTATCTATAATCACACATAGATCATTTATAGTACAACTCTTACCCGAATACCATAGTTTATATCATAAACTATTAACCTCCTTAGCCTTCTCTCCAACCCATTTAGTTTCCTAAATGCACAGAATATTTATCTTCCTATGAATCAAAATATATATTAATTCCATTAATTTTCCTATAAGAGAGCATATATTCTAAGTTCCTATCTTAATTTTAGTTTCATGGACTAGCTTCTTTTTCCACATTCGTCCTTGATGTGAGAACCCTTGCCTATTTAACACTACACCTGGGCACCGGTGCAACGACCCTTGTACACTTGTCGTTGTATTCAGGTCATGCAGTGTGTCGCTTTCAGGGGACGCCCTAGCATTAACACAATTTTTAAAAGGATCCATGTCATGATTATTCGACAAGTTTTCTGTTGACTACTTAACACGACCCTCCACTTTTCTTATCCAGGATTTGGGAATTGGCAACGACAGTGTTTTTAAAATAGTTCTTGAATCAATTCGGTTTGTTTACAATCATATGGACATTTTTTCTGCATCAAATTCTATGATGTAATCAATAAATTTACCATTTATTTCTTATTACTGCACCATAGTTTTATTTTTTAGCAACAGGCATTTAAAAATACTTTAGCCATCAAGTTCGAGTGATCTTGGTGCTCAAGCTATGATATTTGATAATCCAAATCTGTTTTGTTCTTGTCTCTCTTATTGTCACCTTAATGATTATTTAAATTTAATATTGTTACATGATACAGAAGTTAAGATTCTTTTTTGCATATTGTTGATGCTACCTTAGACTTATTATCTATCAGTTAAGTCATCACAATTTTTTTCAATAAATCATTTTTTTTATCTTCGCCTCAGCTGCTTTGCATCATATGAACCATTGCCATTCTAAAGTAGAGGTATCCTTTCTTATGGAGCGATTCTGGCCAAGCTATGACTTGACCCACCACTTACTTTTTTGTAGGTAATAAGGATATTTACTTTCAGAATTATGGAAGGTTTAACATCCATAAGATATGGAGGGATGATATCTTACCTTGTCGTGTTTATCTTAGACATTGGTGAGATATTAATTATCTGTTATTCATGGATGTACCTTACTTTTATTATTGCATGATCTGCATTAAGACAATACGTTTTAGAATTCGCTGTTTAAATTGCTTTGGTAGCGTATAGTTGATTATTTCAGATTTCTCTGCATGTACTGCATCAATGTCATCCATCCCCATATTTCTGTTATAATTCTCTTTTCTTTAAGCAGTTGCTGGTTAATTTTTTATATTCAGGTGCTTACTCAACTTGTTATATTAAGTAAATTAAAGCATTTTGGAAAATAATATTTTTACCATTAGATTAAAAAATATTATCTCATTTGATGATATTATTTCTTGGATAATAAATGTTCTCTCACTTCATAAAATCAACCCTTTATCATGATTTTAGTGAGTTGCAAATAGAGTGAGAATATGGTACTGCTATCCTTCTTTGGTGATGCTCTCTTTTCTTGGCGCATAAAAATAAATTTTGTTATGCTTGTGATGTAATACAAGGACCTCAACCCACTGCCTACATGCAAATGAATGCCGCTTTTTCGGGATGCGATTGCATTTAGATCCAGAATTAACCAACCCCATAAGGAAGTGATCTCTAGTTATCGAGTATTCCTTAGTAGATTACTTTTTTCCAAGAGCTAGTCAAATAGTATCACTTAAGAACGTCTAGCCACATATAGATAACAAACTCTTAGTCAAATGCTACTAAGTGGGTTGATGAGGACATCAGTAGGAGATTCCGGAATGTCTACCGCTGGAAGCATCGTAGATCAACAGCTACAATGAGGAGCTTATATATTTGATATTTTATGTATTAGTTCATATTTTCTTTATTTACGTTTGTATCTTTGCTTGTGTGTTGAGTTGAGTTGTAGCCTTAGGGGCATTTTAGTCATTTCTTTTTTCTCTATGAGGCATATATATTAGGTCATTTGTCTTGTATTTGGATGATGATGATTATGAAAAAAAAAAAAATTAGTTTTTCTTGTTTGATCTCTTTGTGAGTTCTTGAGAGGATAAACCCTAGGAGAGGGCCTTGCATCATCCGTCAGCTGCCAGTGGATTTCGGGACTCGCGGTTCTTCTTTTTCCTTTCCCTATCACCAGCCACCGTATCTTCCCTCCCACCACCGCCGACCAATCCAACCCACCTCCTCCACCGGCCGGCATTTTTCCCCAATTTCCTTCTAAGCCGCCGGCCACCCCTCACCCCATCCACATGCCGACCGTCACCCCACCTTCACCCCCAAACCGTCGACCTAGTTAGCCGTAACCCCACCGCCGGCCACCCCCTTCCTATTTCCACTTGGATGATGAAATCAATCATCATTAACACCTACTTAAAATAGCCTAATTGGTTTGAGAAAGATCTAAATAATTTGAAATTCAAATACTTTCCTAAACTAAGAAAGCTAAATTAGGAAAGTTTATAAATTGGGATCTAATTTAATTGTAAATTAGATTGGTCATTCCTATTTCATCCTTAATTAATAGGAGTGCATTAGGAAACTATTAAACCCTTCCCAATCTCTCACCTATTCTCTCTATGCCGCTGGCCCTCCCCATGCTCCAAATTTTTTAATTCAAAATTTGAATTCTAATCCTTCCCTCCATCCTAATTTAATTCTCTTAATTGATTACCCTCATTGGTAATTAAGTTTAAAGAGAATTTAATAACCCTAATTCCTCAAACCCATATTTGAATTTGGATTTGAATTTCAAATTCTTTTCCCTCCTTATTTAATTAAATCTGACATTAATTTCAGATTTAATGCTCTTTTCATAACCCCAAACCTAGACCCCACAAACCCTAATTCCCTCCACACTTGGCCGGCCCTCTTGCTTGCCCACCCTCTTGGAATTCCTCTCGTCCCATGAGCTATCTTTCAAGAAAAGAAGTCAAGCATCTTCCCTCCGGATGTTGGTGGATCATCGGTTGTCTACACATAGCCCCTCCTCCGAGTAACTTTCGTTGGATATCTACCCCGGCTTCCTCTCCTTCGTGGTGACATCTTCCGGATTGTGGCGATTCTTCTTCTTAAAGAGTGTGAGTGAGGGAAACTCGAGGTGAATTCACTCCTTGTTACGTGGTGGATTGTTTGTTTGTTGCACTACTCGTTTTCATTATAATCTTGATATTATTTGGAGATCTTGTCTGCTAATGTGTGGTTACTTGCCATATCAATTTAAACAATTTTAAATTCGTAAAATCTTTTCCAAGTGAAACATTAAGTTTAAGTTGCGACGCCTAATTCAATCGTTATAAATTTTTACGTGCAATTCCTATGTGGTTTCACATCATGGATAGCTAAAATCAAGTTGCTAGTCACTACTTAAGTATCTTATAGTAGATAAGGTTCCTGCTGACAACTCGCATTGGCGATTAGACTTGATTCATTGATTACTAGTCCTACTCCTATCTCATTATATTGATCGAGAATGCAAGGTGTGATGCCTCGTGCCACTTCCTAGTGTAATATCATAAACCAAAGTTGGTCAATCTTGAAGTATTCAAAAATAGTATAAACAAAAACTGGTTGTGAAATTGTACCTAAAAGGCTTTGCATAATACAAAATACTTCTATTAACTACTCTACGCCATTTTATGGCCTGGTAAAAAGTTTAAAATATCATCTCAAGGATAGTCCAGTCTTGTATTCCCATAAAACTCGTAAGGATGCAAACCCAATCTACGGGTGTAGATAAGTCAAGTCGAATCAAATATTTGCCTAATTGAGCTAAACTTGTTTAGTTCTCACATTGAGCTAAACTTGTTTAGTTCTCACTAAGCTCAAGCTCGTTTATTAAGCTCGAGCTATACTCGTTAAAAAATTAATAGGCTCGAGCTAGGCTTGATTGCTCGAGCTTGACTCGATTGTTGAGCTCGATTTCTTAGTTTTAAATTAATTTTTTTTTAGAATTTTTATTTCTAATATACAATTAACTTAAAAATATTAAAATATATTATATAATGCTAATTTAAATTAATGTTTAAATATATTTTAAGTTAATCGAGCGGCTTAACGAGCTTTCGAATTGAGCTAGGCTGAGCTCGAGCTCATTTAATATACGAGCTTGAATATCTGCTCGAGTTTGAAGAACAAAGGTTGCGTCACTGTTCAATAGAAGTTTAAGAAATTAAGGCGCATGAGGTTTAATGCTTCCAATTCTAAGATTTGTCTATGATTGTCTATGCATAACACAAGCACTAAATAAATCTTGTTTTGAAGTTGTTTATGGTATGCATTTTAGAAAGCATGTAGACCTCAATTTATTGCCCTAACAAACTTTAAATTCCTAATGTGATTTATCTTTTATTGAGCATATCCATTAATTTCATGCTAATATTAACTTGCAAATTGCTAATGGTCCATTTGAGTTCACTTTATTATTGTTTTTAGTTTGTTTTGTTTTTATTTTATTTTTTACTAATATGAAATAAAACATATTTGATTTTTTTATTCATTTATTATTTTCAAAATTATATTTAGCATTGTTGGCCTCATCCATGAGATCTGTACAGGTACCATTGATAACCACATTTTCTCCACATTGTCAACCACAAATAATTTTCTTATTTTCGTCTAAGTATATGGTAGAAAGGGACTTTCACTATCCCCTGATCTCATCTTCAAATCTTCACTGGTGCATGAAACCTTGTCAAAGAAAAATCATTTGCGATGACTTCCTAAACTTTCCATTGACGAATGCTTTGCTTTGATTACAGAATCTACATCGACTTTTCTTCTGATCTAGTGGTCATGGTTTGTGGTTATTTCTACTGTTGGCCTTGCATCAATTGTTGGTTTAATCCCACCTCCAACAACAACCCATATCATTCTACTATATGGAAATCCCATCTTCGAGTCATCTTTAGTTTTTTTTTTTTAAAACATAAAAGAGTAGCACCAAGGAGCAAGTAACTCCATTTAAATGCGTAGGCCTTTTCTGGAAGGACTAATGCTTCATTTGGGACAACTTTCTTACTACTTCTTAAAGCAGTTTTCTCGTGCAAAATTTTAAATTTTTGTATTAGAAAGTTGTTTTAAGAAGCATTAAGAAAGTCATCCCGAACGAAACCTAAGCTTTACTCTTATGTATCATTTGGAAAATGTTTTGCCAACTCTTAGCTCAAAAGAAGTACCTAAGCCTGGACACCTTACATAACTAGTATCGTTTTTTCTCAAAACATTAATGATTTAACGTGCATGTCTTCAGTGTCCTCGCAGCCAAAAACCTTGGAGAAGCAGCCTATGATAATTTCTTAGATCACACATTTCTCAGTGATCGCAAGACAACTATCCGTGAATATTTGTCCTCAACTGGTTCTGGCATCATGGAGGAGGAACCTCCCGAAGCGCTAAGGAACCGCTACGGAGGATGATAATTTGTGCAAGAAGATGATAATTCTGCTTATGGCACCAAGGAGCCTGGATCCATCTTTGCGTTTCTCAACCTTTCATAAGAAGCCTGGGCTTTTTTTATTAGAATCTGGAGTGTGGCTCTATTGTAAGTCACAGACAACTTAACAAAATTTTATATTTGACATTATAGAATGGTTTGCATAATGTAATAAACTTGCAGACGTGAATTTGTATGCTTCTTTACAAATTATTATATTTCTCTATGCAAAATTGGATTACATTATGTTAGGCAGTTTTACTTGTGTCGATATTCATGTTTTACTCATTCAAACTTTATAGATTACCCTCCACATGGGGAGAGATTATCACGTGTGGAGTCCGGATACAGAGAATCGTTCGGTTTTGTGACTGTGAATAGTAAAAGCACAACGGTGAACAATAACAACACTTTTACTGTTCAGAGTCACAAAATTGAACGGTTCTCTATGTCCGGACTCCGCACGTAATAATCTCTCCCACATAGCAATTGTGCTGTACAAGGGCTGAATTATTTGTGCCTCAAGTAATCTTTTCATTCCTGATGCTTTTTAAGGTTTCATTTGGAACAACTTTATTGTTGTTTTATAAAACAGTTTTTTTATACAAATTTTTTTTTGAATTTAAAACTTTTAAACTTGAAAATTACTTCATAAAACGGTAAGAAAGTTATCTCAAATGAAGCTTAAGCTACGATAACACCCTTTATAATTGATAGGCCTATTTATGTTCTCACTATTGTATTCAATCTAGAAAAATTATAGTAAAGAGTGAAGTTGCAAGTTTTAATAAATAAACATCTTGAAATAAGTGAGACTGTTTTGAGAATGCAAAGGAGGTAGGAAAATAAGTTGAACCGCTTGTAATAGCCTGAACTGGCTTGCCCCAACAACAAATAGCCAAAGTCTTCTACCCTATTGACCTGACCTACCCTTCACAAAAAACTCACCAAACCACAAAACCCTTCGATTGAACTCTCACCTTCTTCCTCCTCTGTTTACTATGAGCCTCCAATGGCATTATAGCCTTATCTTCTTCATCTCTTTCTATGTATTTTTTTTCTTCTTCCATGTCTTCTCCTTTCCTTTTCCTAGTTATTGTAGAAATCTCTTCACCTTCTCTACTCAAAATGTTGAAAGGAGATTCACTATTTTTAATTTGAAATAGATTAATGCATTTTCTTATCTTTTGTTTATGTTAAGATCATATTATTGGAGATTTTCTTAGTATGATCTTTCTTTTTTTATTTGATATAATTAATTTAGAGAAGAATATAAAATATATTATAATAGTAGCTTTAATATTATAACTTGTGTTTTTGTAATAATGATCATATTATGTAGATTTTGAAGAAGCTTGTATCGATTAGATTGATGGAATGACTTTCAATATCATTAATTAAGACTTAACATGATTAAATTTGGGATAGATTAATGCTTCATTTGGGACAATTTTTTTACTGTTTTAAAAGCAATTTTGAAGTACAAAAAGCTATTATATGGGGTAGTAAGAAAGTTGTCTCAAACGAAGCCTTGAGACATTTTTCTTACTGCTTCTTAAATCATCTTTATAATAAAAAAATAAAAAAAAATATATATATTTAAAAACTGTTTTAAGAAGCAATAAAAAAGACATCCGAAATGAAGCTAAAGTCTTATGTTGTTGTATGTTTAACTTTTATATATTACAATTATGATATAAATATTATGGTTCTTTCATGAAGGGTATTCAATTTGAATTTTTCAAATTGCATGATTTGTTGGATCTCATTGAAATTTTTAGTTTCATAGTATCTTCTTAGATACTATGAGGTAACTAACTTTATTATTAGAGGATAAATATATCCTTCTCTATTAAAGGCGTTATTTTTATTGCTTGTATCATATTTCTAAATATTTGTAGGTTGCTAGTCATGACTTCAATACTAAATTATTGTTAAGCTTGTTTTAATAGATCTTGTTTAATATTCATATTGCTATATAAATTCTTGAATATTAAATTGATTCTAAGTATGAATCTATTTTTTTTATACATTTTACTTCCATGGAATGCAATAAATGTTATTCCTATAAATTATATGTTATTATAAAATAGCATTTGCCATTTTGACTATATAATATATGTTGGAAACTTGGTTATGAAATACATAAAAATTATTTGCCTATGTGCAATGATATGTAGTAAGTAGAAGCCTTTTGGATATCAATAATCTCTGCCAATGGACCCACAAAATGTTGACTCTGTAGAAGAGTTTTTGAGTTGATGCACCTTCCTAATTTTAGGGTGTATCGATAAAATCGACTATATATATAATGATAAATAATTAATGTATCATATTTAGAGAGGTTTGATTATACTTAATATGATTGCATATTGATATGTCAGAATAAAATTATATTGAGTACATTTTATCATACAAATGATCTTGAATCTCATCATGCTCAAAACCATTTTAGAATAGATGACAAACCTCATTCATGCAATATAATATTACTTTGAAGTTTGAAGTGATGTTTACTCTGACACTTATTATATTCCTTTTACATAGCCATTTGCACTTTTTATTATTTATACTCTATGCCCTAATGCCTTCTCATTTATGTTTTAAAAAATAGAATGTATTTGTTGAATTTGAGTTATCAAACTCATTTATTATAAATTTCCTAATAAAAAATTCTATCTAAGTACTTGATAGACCATCACCACATAAACATATTTTTTTAGCAATAGAATTTCAATCATTATTTTTAAGTTAATGTAATAGTTCTATTTGTATTTCTATTGGGCTTGGATAGTTTTGCTCATCTCCTTTGTATTTTTATTTTCTTTTTTACTTTTACTTCTTTGATGTATTAATTTATGAATTCTATTTATGAAATGAAATGATATTTGTTTTTTTTTTCTTTTTTGCTTATTCTCTCTGTTTTTATTACTTGTATATGAATTATTTTGTGAGTACAAAATATGTTTGAATCAATCTTGAACTTTGAGGTTTACTTCACTAGTTCAGGTCAATGAATTTATTATATCTTATTTTGATCGTCCTGAACATCGTATCAGACGATTCCTTGATTTTTGAACTAATCGTACTGGATGATGTGAACATCATACTGGACGACCTTAAGCTTTTAACTTATCGTACTGTACGAAATGGATCGTACAATACGATGAACATAGATGAGTTTTGGTCATCCCAGCGTTCGTCCTATATGAACATAAGGAAAATAACATATCGTACTGGGCGATGTGGTTCGTATTGTACGATGTTATTCAAAAAAATGTCCTGCTCGTACTCCTGTACTAGAACGAAGGATGTTTTGAATTGATCGTATTGTACGATCTTGGATCGTACTGTACGATCTTAGATCGTACTGTACGAACATAACTGCTATATTGAAAATTTAGGATTTCTTGGAGCCTGATTTATATATGATTCATCTGTCTTTTGAATGAAAAAGAATGAGAGGGGAATGTGACAAGAAGGGGACTTCTTGAGAGAGAGCAACTTGAGAATATTTTGGGTTTGAGAGAGGAAGGAGAAGGTGAGTTTGTGAGGGAGGAGTGTACGTGAGGGAGATCACATGGTTGCTCCTAGCCTGGTGCACTCTTGCTCCTCCTATGGCCCGAGAAGATATTGTGGGAAGCTTTCTAAGGGGGAGATCCTTCAAGGTTCGTGTCCTCTAAGGTACTCTTCCTTCTCCAGGAGGAAGAAAAATGAGAAGGTTCGATGCCGTCAACTAGGGGGTGACATAGCGCTTGGTACTCCACCACACCGGGGAAGGTTAAACTAAGGGTTTGTAAAGGCTTCTCAGCCTTGCTGTGGGGGCAAAAGAAGAATTACTTTTGATTAGTGAAATTCCTAGAGTGGAGGACTCCGGGGAGTGGACGTAGGTTAAGTGACTGAACTACTATAAATCTTATGGTATGATTTGTCAGTTTACCACACTTTATTTATGCTTTGCATTTTTCATTTGTTATAACTACTTGGTGAAAACCGTGTTCTAATTCTTTGTTGTGCAAGCTAAAATATCACCAACTATTGTTGCAATCGTGCTTTAATCATTCGCTTTCACATCAAGTTAAATTTTTATTTAAAATTTAAAAACAAAAAATTAGAACTCATATTTAGGATTGTTATTTTATTACGAGAATTTTCAATTCACCCTCCTCATGGCGCACCTCGCACTTTCAACTTTGAGTCAGCGGCGCCCTCCTCCGAGGAAGAGCATTATTTGTAATCAGTCACAAACACTAGTGTAATCATTTTGATTGGGCAATGCCCCATAGTTTTTCTCTTTTTAAGGGGTTTTCATGTAAAAATCTTGGTTTCTTTTATGACTCTTGTACCCCTCTCTTTTATCTATTTGTGTGTTGAATCTTTGTACAAAGCTATGATGCTAAACTTTACATCTCTCTACATCTACGAATATTCTAGGATGCAATAGGGCTAGCATACCAATATAGTGATACCTTTAAATGAAATCTTTAAATTTATCTTGATCAATAATTACATTTCTCAATTTTAAGATTATATATATATATATATATATATATATATATGTATATAACTTATTTAGAGATCTGTGATTATACTTGGTATAATTACATATAGATGTGTTAGAAACATTGAGTATACTTTATTATACAAATGATCACGAGCCTCATCGTATTAGAAATCATGTTAGAAAAGATGTCATACTTCATTCATGTATTGGTGTAACTTATTATATTGCTCATATATTTTATTGTTCATGTTGTATGCCTCAATGCCTTATTGTTTTTGTTTTGATAAATATGAATTATTTGCTAAGTTTGAGTTATAAAACACACATAATAAACTTCTCTTACATCAAGTCTATTGAGGTGCTTGGTGGCCCATCACCATAAAAGCATTCAATAATAGAATGTAATTAAGTATTTCTAAGTTTATTTACTAGTTCTATTTATATTTCTATTAGGTTTGGCTAGCTTTGCTTTGCACTTGTTGTTTTTAGTTTATTTGCCATTAATAGTTGTTTCTGCTTCTTTGATGTATCAATGTTATGAACTTTATTTATGAAGTGAAATGCTATTTTACTTTTCTTTGCTTATTCTTACTTTTTGTATTACTTTGATAGGGACGTTTTTCTCTTTTCAGAACAAAATATTTTTAATTGATATAGGCCTTTAATGTTTACTTTAGGGATGAGGTCCATCATTTCATCTTGTCTAGTGTTGTAGGGATATTACACCTTTTGGACCCAAAATGTGTCACCACTTACATCATGGTATCTTCTTTTGCATTCTTTTGTTAGTTCTTTCCTCCTTAGAGACTTATCATCAAACAAGTAAACCAATGCAAAACCTCATTTTTGTTACCTTAAAACTATATATTAACTCGAGAAGAGTTATATTTATATTGACCGTCTTGTCCTCATCGTGGTATCATTTTTTCTTATTCATGATTTTATTTGATAAAACCTCTGTAGAAGTGATATTAGTTTATAGAGTGCAAAGTTCATTACTCTTCCATATGATCAATATGGATAAAAGAAGTGAGATTATATGCCTGTGGCCAATTATGATGGGGAAGTTGGTGCTTATTTTGAATTAAGGAATACATGTATGTAAAATAAGATTTGAAAACTCTAAAATGTGTTTTGAGGTATATATGCCATTTATGCTGGATATTTCTAATATCATGCAACTAAATTTAAATTTTTATTAAAATTGGAATGATTTGGATAACATTGAATTTAACTTAAATTGTTGAAGACATAATGGTGAGGAGAGGACTCCTAATATTCCATGAGCGATTTCCCTTAATGTTCAACCTAGATGATTAATAACCATGTCAAAAGTTAACTCCAAATACACCCGATTAAACTCCTATCACCAAGGCTCTACTTAATAAATTTCAATCAATTTTATGTGCACTATAAGGCCCATGGCTACAACCCCTTAAGTTGGTATTCTTTCCTTCGGATCATAGAACTAAAATGTAATTAGAGCTTGAAATAGTAAATTATGGTTCTTATAGACCCATAATAGTTGCCCTTGGTTGCTAAAGATACTAGATATTGGAGATTATTTTTTATGGTTATGACCACTAATTTATAAGTTGAGATGAAACAGTGAGTGTTCCATCATTGGTGAGTACCTTCAAGTCCATAAAAAAAGCAATAAAGCTATCAATAATTCATAGGGTGGTTGTCATAGATTTCATATTTATCCTCCATTAAAGGAGCTCAAATGGCGCCAAAAAGGTTAGGTTATTCTTCCATAAATCCTTAAGGTTGATATATATCTTTGGTGATTCTCCTAATAAAATTAGAATACACTTCCCCACAGAACTGCAGCTGCAAAGTCTCTCTCTCACGCGCGCGCGCGCACACACACAAAGACATGCGACTCTCCCACCATCCCCTCAAAGCACACTCCTTTTTCGCTCCACAGCTCTTTCTCAGAAGATGTCCATTCCGATCTCTCACACCCTCTTCTCTACCCACTTATCTGAGCTCCTCAAGGCGCAACCTTTCATTGATCAAAGTTCTGCTTCCCCTCTCCGCCAATTCGTCTCTCCATTTCCCAGCTTGCAGAGCCCAAAATGACCCTAACCATTTCCCCCTCGCGATTCATTCCATTTCAGAAGCGGCAAAATCAAGTATTGGAGGAAATGACAATGCAGAAATAGAGGAGAAGGAGAAGGATAGGGCGAGCTTTTGGGGGGCCGTCAGCCTTATAATCGGCACGGCTGTCGGCCCTGGAATGCTTGGCCTTCCCTCTGCCACCATCAAAGCAGGCCCCTTCCCCTCCACTTTAGCCATCATTCTTTCTTGGGTCTACGTCATCTCCTCCATCGTCCTCGTCGCCGAGCTCAGCTTCGCCGCAATGGAGGAAGATAGAGTCAAAGAGACCAGCTTCACCTCCCTCGCGACCAGGGCTCTAGGACCGAGCTTCGGGGCCTTTGTGGCCATCGTTTATGCCTGTCTCAGCTTCTCTCTCTTGATAGCTTGCGTCTCAGGGATCGGCTCGCTGGTTTCTCAGCAGTTTCAGACCATGAATCCAATCGTAGCTCATGCTTTGTTTCCCTGCTTTGTTGGCGTTGTCATTGGGCTATTTCCTTTTAAGGTCATCGACTTCACCAACCGGCTGCTCTGTGTTCTGATGCTCTTCTCCATCTCGACACTTGTAGCCATTGGATTGTCCAGTGGGAGAAGTAATTTGGTACTGTCTTTTACTTTTGCTTCATGGCAGCCGGAGGTTATCATGCCAGCGATTCCGGTCACTGTGCTCACGCTGGGCTTTCATGTGATTACTCCCTTTATTTGCAAGCTTCTCAGACATTCAGTTTATGATGCTCGAAAGGCTATACTATTTGGTGGCTTTGTTCCATTGGCAATGGTTCTTTCATGGAATGCGATTGTTCTTGCGCTGGCTGGTGGTGGAAGTAGTAGTTTTCAAGACCCCATTAAGCTGCTTCTCTCTGTGAATGCCTCTGCTTTGCCGGCCGTTCAAGGTTTTGCTTTTGCGGCATTAGCAACAAGCTTGATTGGATATGCTGTAAGCTTCCCTAAACAGCTACTTGATACTGTTACATTGATTGCTCAAAGGTTGAAAAGGAAAGAGATGGAGCTGGTAATATCCCCAAGCGGGGATCAGATCTTAATGGGTGGTGACCACATCAAATCCAAAGTTGCTAGAGGTATGGGAATTAGAGGGGAAGCTTCTTCTGTTGGTAGTCCCGAGATTGACCCTAATTTTTTGATAGAGGATGCAACAAGTAAGACTAACAGAGATGGCAGCAAAGAAGATATTTGCAGTGAGAGCTTCAGCGGTTCAGTTCCTTTTGATGTCGGTTGGAGTAGTATTTTCGTGACTTGGATAGTTCTAATTGTGCCCATCTTCATAGCATCTTTCTTCCAAGCAGCTTTTGCAAAAGCTCTGGATTTTGCTGGAGTCTATGCAAATTGTTTTCTATTTGGGGTTCTTCCACCAGCAATGGCTTGGATAAATAGACGACGGAAGAGACATAGGTATATTTGGTCTAACATTTTTTTTCTTTCACTCCTGCAAGTTTAAATTATTCAGTTGTTTTATAGCATGATTTATTATTATTTTTTTTTTTATGAAACCATTCTCGTAACTGCTTTATTTAGCTTTGAAAGTTAAGAAATTGCTTATTACTTGATTTTTACCCTCGATTCCACCCATATTTTCTCAAGTTAAGGTTAATTGGTCTCTAGCATTTTACAAATTTTACTGGTTTGATTTGTTGAAGGCATGGTTTTGTTGGAGGATGTACAATGGAGGTATAGAAGAGATAGTGTTAATATAATTAATATCAATTGAATCCTGATTAGGAATGTCTTTTGAAGGATTCACTATGTAAACCTAGTAGTTGAGATGTATTAATAATGAAGATGATGATGACAACATATTAGTTGTAGTGCAAATGAAATAAATCCAAAGTGTTGGCCTGCTTCAATTATATTGTTAAGTTTTTGATGCTAACATACTTTTATCCGTTTCAACTAATGATTTGGGTAAGTGTGTAATAGATTTACCATTCAAGCAAGTAACCAAGAAGGTAACTAACCATTTGATGGTTTGACGAAGCATTTAATAGGTTTTTAATTCAAGATGCTAACCATGAAGATGATCGATGTTGAAAATAGGAAGCTCCCTAATGAAAAACCTTGCTATGAAATTTTAAAATGAAAATTTTGATGTGTAATGATGTGCCACCTAATGCACAATGTGATGCAAAATGAAATGAAAAAATATGTTATGGAATTTTAAAATAAAAATGTTCATAGTATCTTTCAATTAAAATCAATTAATTGTTATGACTAGCTCTAGTTAAGTTTCATGAATGGCTAAATTTAGTGAAACTTATATATCTTATATTTTTTGAAATAGAGGGTGACAAATTAAGAAAGGAAAGAACACAAAATGAAAATAGAACAAGGTTTAAAATTGCGCAATTGGGTATTGAGGTGTTTTTCATTCTTGAGGCATGGCGTAAGCTTCAAGGCGTTTTAAGGTGTATGACTCAAAATTAAAAAAATCACATAAAATAAAAATAAAGGTTAAAAGTGATTTTTTATATAATACCCAAATAATATGTTAAAGGATGACATATTAACTTTCTATTGAACTATAAAATAGTAAGTTGACATATATATGAAACAAAAAATTGCACAAGATATAAAATAATAAACAATAAATTGCATGACATAGAACTGAAATCAAAATATTACAAGAACAAAACAACATAAAATATAAGAATTGTGTAAAAGTATCAAATAATATATATTTCAACTTCAAATTTCTTCTTTTTCAGTTCACTACTCAACCACATTCAATTCTAAAAAAAAGTTAAAATAATTGTGAACACTTAAAAATCATTTGCACCGTCATCACTAAGGGGATCTTTATTTTTGAGGTGTTGTCATAACAAATTAGCCTCTCCCCTGCCTCATCCTATGGAATTTGAGGGACCGACCAATTTCATTTGGAGGGAATTATGAAGTTTCCTAATCAAGTGGGAGCTGTTTATGAAGGTTTTTAATCAAAGAGGAATTGTTTAAAAAAGTTTTAATTATAATTATGAGGGAATTATTTAGGGCAAAAGATCTAATTTGAATTCAAAATCTAAGAGGGAATTATTTAAGGAAAGAGAGGAAGAATCTAGGGGAAATTTTTTAGGAAAGTTTTTATTACAATTGGTTGGGAATTATTTAGGGCAAGTGATCTTATTTGAATTCAAATATGAGAGGGAATTATTTAAGGAAAGGGGGTTGATTTAGGAGGGAATTAGGGGAGCCTATTTATGGCTAATAATAGGGTGATTTCAGGATTATGTTATGAATTTGCTGAAATTAGTTTTTCTTTGGCTGTAAAGGCTCTAGCCGTTGGCTAGGGATTTGGTAGAGCCTGATCTCTTCTCCAATTGAAGATCCAACTATCTCTTGCTATTTTCTTTCATATATCTTGCAATAAAAAGATTCGTGGTGTGTTCTTCTTCCCAATTTCTTATTGTTGTTCACTGATTTGGTTGAAATTGCATCAATTTCCTATCAAGTTAGTATCAAAGCCTAGATCCAGGTACCTATGGCGGGAAGAAAGGTAGAAGTGTGTTAGGTAGTTGATGCAATTTCAACAAAAATCAGAGAATGCCACAAAGAATTTAGGAAGAAAACACACCAAAACTCAAATAAATGAAAGAAAATAGCAATATACATTTGGATCTTCAATTGGAGATAAAGATCCAACTCTCCCAAATCTTTAGACATTGCTAGAGCCCAAACAAGAACCAGGAACCCCCAAACTACAACAAAAAGCAAGATTAAAAACAAATCCTAAGAGTAATTCTGTCTTAAACAAACATTAATCCCCTTCTAATTCCCAAACGGCCTTTCTATTTGAATTTTCTCTCCTAAATCTCCCCTAATTTCCCTCTAACTAAGCTTGTGGACCCCACAATTACAGGGGGGCATTGAGGGGCAGAACTTCCCCTGTTTTGCCTCTTATAGATCTAGACCAACCCTGATTTATCAAAACTTTCCTTCCAAAGAGCCACTTTCTCCTCAAAGTGGAAGGAGGGAAATTGATGCTTTACTTTACCCTTTACCATCTCAAATGGCTCACATGTGGCATCATAGTCAGGTAGGTTCTTCCACTTAATCAACACTTCCTTGTGCTCTCCCACTTCCTAACGGACCCATTCAAGCTCTAGTGGTTCCAAAATCACCTCCATATCCTCAATCAATGTCCCTGGTAATTCTGAACTAGCTGTTTGATCCCCCACAACTCTCCTCAATTGTGAAATGTGGAACACTAGGTGTATGGAAGTTGTCGGGGGTAACTTCAAGCGTAACGCCACTGCTCAAATCCTTTCCAACACCTTATAAGGGCCAAAGTACCTCGAGGCTAGCTTTTCATTTCTTATGTTGGTTAATGTCCTCTGTCTATATGGTCGTAGCTTTAAGGATACCCTATCCCCAATGACAAATTTGATATCCTTTTTGTGCCTATCCACCTGCTTCTTCATAATTTGTTAAGTCTCATCAGATGTCTTTTTAACTCTTCTAACATCCTGTCCCTTTCCTCCATGTATTCTTTATTGATGATACTCGTGTGCGACTTTGCCCAAAATGTGCCAACTGTGGAGGGTCTCTTCAGTATAGTACTTTGAAGGGAGTGGTCTGGGAAGCCTAGTGGTACGAAGTGTTATACCAATATTCTGCCCATGCCAACCACTTGGCCCATACCCTAGGTGTTCTTAAAGCAAAACACTAGAGGTATGCCTCGAAGCTCCTGTTCACCACTTCTCTCCACCCGTCTGTCTAGGGGTGGTAAGTGGTGCTCCTCTTTAGCACTGTTCCTTGTCATTGTAGTGTAAGAATGTCATAGGGGGATGAAGTGAGCGTACTTTCTCAACCTATCAACTACCACCAAAATTACTTAAACCCTTTAGATCGAGGTAAATTATCAATAAAGTCCATGGTGACCTCCTCCCACACCCGGTTTGTTAGAGCTAGGGATTGAAGGAACCCCCAGGGGCCATGGCCATATACTTGTTCTGCTGGTATATCTCACATCTAGCCATCATCTCCTCTACATTCTTGTGCATTCCTTTCTAATACAACTCTACTACTAGTCTCATGTATGTTTACTACATACTAGAGTGAGCCCTAATCGCGGTCCCGTGGAACTCGTTGTAGCAGTTATGGGATATGAACTAAGGTCCGAGGCATTACAAACCTTCCCTGGTACAACAGTCTCTCCCCCTCTAGAGAGTAGCATGGGTGACTGTTCTTATCATTCATAAGATCTACTCTAATTTTTCCGAACCCCTTATCATGCATGCTCTCCTCTTTCATAGCCCCCACAATCTAGTATCATTGATATTGATATTTCCAACTCCTAGAGCTTTCCCATACAGTTGGACTAGGCATCTGCCACCTTGTTCTCCAGCCTTGGTCTATAATGAATCTCAAAATCATAGCCTAATAGCTTTGACAACCATCTCTGATGTTCCTCAATCACCATCCTCTACTCTAAAAGAAACTTCAAGCTCCTTTAGTCCATCCTGTCAATGAAATACTGACGTAACAAGTAAGGTCGCTACTTCTGATTGTCTAACACAATGGCCATCAATTCCCTTGCATAGACTAACTTCAACCTAGCTCTAGCTATCAACACTTGACAGAAGTAGGCTATGGTTTTGTGATTCTGCATAAGCACGACCCTCAACCCATATCCTGATACATCCGTCTTAACCACAAAGATTTGACTGAAATTCAGGAGGGCCAAAATTGGTACTATGGTCATTGTTGTTTTCAGTCTTTCAAAAGCATGTGTAGCTGCTTCTCCCTACAAGAAATTGTCCTTCTTTAGTTTCTCTATCAACTATCAGGCTATGGTGTTGTATCCTCACATGAATCTCTTATAGTACCCCGTCAAACCTAGGAACCTCCTCAGCTCTCTCAGATTTCTATATAGAGGCTATTTCTATATTGCTTTAATCTTTGCCTAATATGCAGCCAACCTCTCCTTAAAAACCATGTACCCCAAGTATTCCGCACTGGTATGTGCAAAGAAACACTTCTTCAAGTTGGCTCTCAACTGATACTCCTGTAATACTTCCAAGACCACCGTCAAATGCTCCAAGTGCTCCCTATCAAACTGTTGTACATCAGTATGTCATCAAAGAAAATCAGTACGAATTTCCAGAGATATGGTTTGAATACCATGTTCATGAGCGACTGAAAAGTGGTAGGGGCGTTTGTGAGCTCGAAAGACATCACTAAGAACTTGTAAGGCCCGTCATGTGTCACACCCCATTTTGATCTCCTTTGGAGTGTACCAGAGAAGGAAAAATTTGAATAGACTTATCTCTGATTAACACCCATTTTGAATTACTTCTATCAAAATCATGTGAGCAGGAAGTAGCTTATTCAGATTATCCTAGCACTTCATATTTTATACTTAACAACAGAAAGTATATGTCAAATACCTCCAATAAAATGCAAATCTTAAATAAAACACAAAGCTTTACTAAACTTTTTGAATTCATTTACATACCTAAAGTGTCTGTACAGCTCCTATTCAGATATCTTTGTACACCCAAAAAGTATATGTACACAAAAAGTTCAGTCACTCTTTTTGTCTGGTACCCTACTGATTCCTTCCCATTCCCATAATATAATTATTGCTAATGAGCTAGGGTTTAATGAAATTTTAGAAGGGAAAGAGATCAAGTTGTATGAGTTGGGTTCTTCAAGAATTTACAAGAAAGGAAATTGAGGTTGAGGTAACAATTAATTAGATAGATGTTTATCAAAAATTTGATGAAAGTTAACTATATATAAATTTACCTTATTGTGTATCTCTTTATGTTGTGACAAGAATCAATGATTTGAAAGATTCAAAGTGGGTATTTATAGAATTTCTCTTTAGTTTATTTTTCTATTTTATTTTGCAAGGATCATATTATATAATTGTTTTAAGACTTATAAAATATTTTGGAAATTATTATGCATGAAATGAACAAATATATATGCAAGTATATGAAAATGTGAAAGAAAATGCACGCTGAAAGTCTATCTATAAAAGAAATATAGAGTAAAGTTAGAAAGTATTTATACATATTAATGATAATTATATGTATATCATAAGTATGTATGAATTAATGATATACAAAAAAATAAAAATAAATAAAGAAAAAGAAAAAGGAAATACATGCAATTTGTAGGAGTTCACCCCCTTATGGTATTGGTGGGGAAGTGACGTATCCGTGCACGTTAAAAAGGAAAAGGAAATGTAAATAGTTGTACTTTAATCGGTACATTTAGACGGTGCTCATGTACAAATGAAAATAGATATAGAGATGAATTGAAAATTGAAATGGATATGAAAAAGAATTGAATGTCAAATCTATTAAAAGAAATGATAAAATGGAAAATGGATAATTATGATCGAATACAAAAAGGAATTATATGAGATTATAAGGTTTATAATGCATGAAAGATGTATGTATATTGATTTTGATATTAAGAAAGGAAGATGTATAAGAAGATATATATTATGATATATCTATTTTACTGTTTTATAATTCACAATGATTACCCACTGTGTTTACATTATAAACTCAAACTATTAATTTAATGTTTCAGGTAAATTTCAAAAGAAATATGAATGACAGAAAGGGAAGAGTTTGTTTATAAAAGACGACGCAATAATGAAAACAGATAAATCGACTAATGTGAATTTTAGTTTTTTTTTTCAAAGTTGAAATGAATATATTTTTGGATTATTTGTGTAAAGTGTCTCTTTAGTTGAAATGAGAAAGTTGTATGTTATATTGCTTATGAATTATATTGATTTAATTCTACCATCTGACTTTTATTTCCCGCCTCGCTAAGTCGAGCATCCGAGTCTGGTCGTGACAACTACATCACCACATGCTCCTTTGGATGGAATGGCTTGATGTTGTATTGGTAACATGCACCCATTCTTTAGGCTACTTTTACCTATGCCAACCTATATGACCGGTTGCATTTATGGCTAATTACTGGCGATCTTTTTGAGATTTTATTAAGGGGATTTTTTTAATTTCTTCATCCCATTTGTTTATATAAGTACGTACATTTTTCGGTTAGTATAAACTAATGGAATAAAGTAAAAAAGAGCTCACAGTGTTATACTCATAAGAGGATTTTATGTTCTTTCTAAGCTTTTCTTTAAGCCATTGGCCCAATTATATATCTCCTCAATCCTTAGAGTTCTTATTTGTATTTCTTACTGCAATCTTTTAGAGGATTGAGTTTTTTGTTTTAGTTTCTACTAAAGCCTTCAACTCACCAATTCCTATGGTGGATTGAAGTTGTGCCCCTCCTAAGAAATAAGGAGAAGGTTTTCCTAGTCTTTAAGGATAGGAGGAAGCGATTCTACCAGCTTAGTGTGCAAGATTAGACACTTGCATTGGCAGAGGGATTGTGATTTTTGCATAGCTTAGTGTGTGAGAGTAGGGATATTATAAGGCTTCTCCACTTGCATTGGCGAAGGGATTGTGAATTTCAGAGGTATTAGCAACCATAAAACTTTATTTGCATTTTCTCTGCTTATAAGGTAAAAAGAGAAAGAGAATGTGTACCTGATGGCATCATATAAGCATACTGAAACAAGGGATTTAAGTTTGCATATCATGGAAGCTTTGGTTAGTTTTGTTCATTCAAGCTTTTTAACTCTGCTTTTTTTCATACTGAGATTTCAAGCAAAATTGTCTTACGGAAGTTGGTATTTCTTTTTAAACATAGAGTTTATCTTTTCAATTATCTTTAGAGTTATATGATGCTTCATTTTTTTCTAAACTGTTTACAGTAAAGATAGAGTGCTTATAGAGTTGCTATACATGTGCAGATCAGCTATGTCTAGAAGTGATTTGCTGCCTGGTGGTAATTTGGTTCTTTTACTATTATTTGCTATTGCTGTCATACTGGGATTCTGGCATTAGGTGGCTAGTATCAAGAGGTACTGCAATGTGAGGTTCCTCTATTTGCGAATTCGATGACAACATTTCTTATACAAGAGTTGTATTCATTTGTTTGCAATTCATAAATAAGTAAAATCGCTTTAGTTTGAATATTGTGATATTTGAGGTTGGCTCCACGCCTGTGTTATATTTTCTTCGAAGCAGTTGTAGCAGTTCTGTTAATGGACAATGGATGGTATATCTTTTGTTACTAGCTTAGTTTAGACCACTGAGTCAAATTTAAAATCTGAACTAAAAATTTTCTGGAACAAATTTCACAAGTGGCAGTATGGGTGCATCAGGGCAATCATTCCATGAAGAAAATGGCTCACTGGTTTTTACAAACTTGAACAAGCTATTTACTGAAGAAAGGAACCAATTTGAAAACAAATCTGACTTGTTTGGCGACCACTAGGAACAGAGGGTTATAGTAAGACTAGCATATCCTAGCATGTTGAAATTAAACCTTATTATATATATATATTATTTGTCTTAGATTGGCACTGACAAATTGGTAATTATGTGCTAAAACTTTAAGTAGTTAAAAGTTTATTTTCTTTTGGTTTGGTCAACCAAGGAATTAGCACCAATGTGTTTAAACTGAGTTTTGGTTTCAATTTCAAACTTGTCAATTGTGCTTTAGTTTTGTTTTATTTCCATGGTTTTGGTGTCCAATTTCATTTATGGCGTAGATTGTATTGCTTACTATTTGATAAGAAATATGTTGAATCTTACTTAGAAATATTATTATTGCTTTATTTTTTGTTGGTTAGAGTCAAAATTTGGATGTTGCATAATCATCATCATTATACCTTATTACAACTATTTGGGGTTTGTTTATGAATAATTTGATCATATATAAATGATGAGAAAATCCGGCCTAGAGAGTCTACCAAAGGTGTGGCCAACGATCTACGGTCACGATCACACCGATTTATTTTTGAATCATTATATGTATTTGATTTATTTCTGCATTTTTTTTCATTTGTACACTCACTTGAGGGGATATTCATACGTAAGCCCTAAGGGCATGCTGGTCTTTTTTAATTTTCTTCATTGTATGAGGCTTTTAAAAGTCACCTTCTCCTATTTTGAGCTTAATGAATGATATTATGAAATTTCTGCACTTATGTGTTTAGAGAGAGCTTGATAGTTCTTGGAGAGATTGAAGTCTCTAAGTGAGGGCATCGCAACACCCACCAACCGTAGGAAGCGTCCGGATTCGTGGTCGAATTTTCCTACTTCTCCCTTCCTCCCTCCCCCCCGCCCCTCCCAAACTGCCGGCCATCACTTCCCCTTCCCCCTCTCTTGGCCGAACCCCATCTCCACTAATCCTAAGCTGGCCACCTCTCCCCGCCTCCCTCTCTCTAGGCTAAACACCAACACCTCCCATACCTTCGGCCGGCCACCCCTCTTCCGCCTCCAACCGTCAGCTCCAAGGCCTCCCCTCCTCCTCTAAACCCCCGGCCCCAACCCTAACCTAACCCTAGCCGCCGGCCTCCTCCCCTTTTTGCCTCTAAAAATTTTTTCAAATTGAAGTATTAAATACTTTCCTATTTTAGTCCATTCTAAACTTAGAAAGTTTTCGAAATAATGTCCTATGTTTGGAAAGGATTTTAAATCCCCAATTAACATCCCCTCCCCCCCCCTCCGTCTTGCATGGCCGACCCCTCCCTCTCTCTCCTATCTAATTAACGCACCCCATTAAGCTCTCCAATCAATCTATTAATTTCCCTCCAAGACCAAGCCTCTCTCCAACTGGTTTGTAACTTAATTAGCATACCACTTAGGCAAGGAAATTAACTCCTTGTTTTCTTTCACTGCTGTTCACATATCTCCCCACAATATTCACCTAGTTCCTTTGCTTCCAAAGGACCGAAACCCTAAAATTTTTCCTTCCAAAATTGTTGTTCACATTTCTGGACAGATTTTGTGTGCTGTCCAAAATTCCCGAGCCTTTGAAAGCTGCTGTCCAGAATTTTCCAAAGCCAATACCTACTGTCCATACCATTGTAGCTGCTGTCCGGAAGTTTCAGCTTGCTTTCCAAAGACTCCAGCACAAGTTAGTTTGCTGTCCCACCATCCAGAACTTGCCAAAGTGCTGTCCAAAGACAGTTAGAAGATTTGTGTTGCTGTCCACTCTTTCTCAGCACCCAAAATGACCATGTCAGAGTTTCGTATCTTTTTCCTTTGGGTAAACTCTTCCCCTTACCCTTTTACCTACTTACTCACCCTTGATTGTGGCATCATAAGGGTCATGAAAACTTTCTACGCAAGCCAAATTTATTAAGAGTTGGGTGAGGGATCTCTTTCGTAGTGACTAATCTCATTGTTAATTTAGTGATTGTTCGTTGAAAATCCTTCATGTATGCTATGCTTGAATAATTGTTTAATTTGTGATCTAAACATCTAGTTGTGTGACTTGACCTAAGCTAGTTTCACCCATGTGTCATTTTCTTTCATTGTTTAAAATCACTGCAAGTTAATAATTATTATTGGTCTCACATAAAAGCGTGCAATTTCATATTTAATATTGAATAAGCATTTAAGTCCTACATCAATAAAGCATCAAATGCATTGTAGGTATAACTTACATATGTAAGCATTCGTATAAGAAAAATGCATACAAATATGATTTTTGTTCCTTATATGAGCATAGTAAATGTATTAGATTTGACCTATGTTAAGAAAGATAGAAGTAGACCTAAATGTATTAGATTTGACCTATATTAGAAATTTCCTGGTCGGAGACCATCGCTTGAAGCTATTAGGAGTTTTTTCTTCAAGCTTAAGCTTAATGGTGAGGTTTCAGTGACTGTTTTAAATCAGCGTAATATCTTGATCAAACTTTTTAACGATCTGGATTACTGTCGGGTCTTTGCTCATAGATCTTATTTTGTAAGTAATTGCTTCATGAAATTGATTAAATGGTCTCCAATGTTGGATGTGGAGGTTGAATCGCCTATTATCCCAATATGGATTTCATTCCCTAACTTACAGCCTCATTTGTTCGCTCTGCGTATTCTTTAAGGTTTAGGTCAGATCTTTGGTAAACCCTTGAAGACGGACTATGCGACCTCCTCTGGTTCGCGTCCTTCTATTGCTCGTGTTTTAGTTGAACTGGATGTGTCCAAGCAATATCCGAACAAGATTTGGATCGGTCCGGATAGTGTTGGGTATGTTCAATCTATCATTTTCAAAGACTTTCCTGATTATTGTACGCATTGTTTAGCTTTGGGCCATTCTAAAACGAATTGTAAAATTCTTAATCCTAACCTTGTCTCTTCTACTTTGCCTCCTCCTCATTCGTTGGGGGTTGATTTAGCTCTTGTGCACTCATCTGATCCTGGTTTTCTTTCTACTGCTAAGGAGGGAGGTTTAGGTGTTGACTCTGTTGTCTCGGGTAGAGTCCCTCCTAACCCTGTGTCGACCCCGGATTTGAATGAAGTTGGGCCTACTGATGTTATTGTTGTTGAGCCTTTGGGTCCAATTTTAAATCCTGTGGCAGTTCCTTTTGATAATACTGTAGTTAATCCTGCTGTGGTTGCCCCTACTGTTGATGATACACCTGTGGCGTCTGTGGGTGCTCTGGCTGTTGTTGAGCAGGATGTTCGGGGATGTTCTAGTAATGGCGCTTTAATGGCTTGTGAACTTAATTCAATGCCAATTTTAAGTGAACCATGTGTTTTAACTAAAATTGTTGCTCCTTCAATGGCTGTTGAGCGATTTGATTTATCTGGATCCATGAAGGTTTTGTCCCCTGTTTCTCAGGTTGGTGCTTCTTCGGTTAATTTGGGAGTGGATGATGTTCATTATACTTGTGTTGATGTGCCGGTGAAATTAATTGAACCTCAAGCCTTGGTTATTCATGTGGGGAACAATTCCGGTATGAATGTGAGGAAGCACTTAGATTGGCTTCATGTTTCGTCTGATTCGGAGTCCGTTTCCTCTTTTGATTCTAGTGGCGCGGACGATCCTGGTAATCCTTTTGCTTTGTTGCGTGATACACCTGTTGTTTCTGGTGCCTCTCGTGGTAAAGCTCGTGGTAGGGGCAGACGTCGTCGGTAATGGCCGTGGCTTTTGTGGTGGTTGCCTTATGGTTGAAATTTTCTGGGGTGCAATTTTCTGAGATTGTGCTTTGGATGGTCTGGTAGTTAGGTTGCCTGATGCCTTTGCATATATTCAAGCTCTCTGTTTGTTTTTCGTTTGGTCGGGCAGTGATGTGGTTGGGGCTCGCTTGTCCTTTGGCTGGCCCGTGGCAACCTTTGGTGTTTGCTTGGGTTTTGGTGCGATTCTTCATCAAATTAGATGGTCCGGGCTTGGCTTAAGGGTAGCTGGTAGTCTCAACCTTAAACTGAGCCCTCTTATTCTGTATTTTTATCCACTTTCTCGTCGTGCTGTGTCTTTGAATGTTGTATTTTGTACTTTTTTTTTGTTTGGAATAAAATCTTTTGTTAAAAAAAAAAAAAAAAAGTAGGCCTAAAAAAGTAAAAAGACTTGGTTAGAAAGTATTAAAAATGATCTTTTTTTTATTATATTTAAATTAGAATTTGACTCTTAATAGAACACAATGGAGAAATATTATTCATATTGCTGACCCCAATTAGTGAGATAGAGGCTTGATGTTGTTATTGTTGTATATGAATAGAATGGAAGACTATTTTTGTCCTTTCCACGGCATAGGCCTTAACCATGTCTTGGCCTACTTGCGTGTGATGTTGGAACCAAGAATTTTGCTTAACATGTGCACATAAACTAATTTTATTATTTGGAGGGGGAACACATTGATTATTATTATTAAAAATATCAAATAACGGGATTTATTAATATCCATCTATCATATATAACAATATGTTAAAAATTTAGGTGGGCCATCTGCTACCTTATGCCTCTCTTGAATCCCCCCGCTCACATGATATCTGCAAGCAAGCCTTGACCATAATTAAATTTTAAGAAAGTTTCTTGAAATTATGACCTCACAGTAGGGATAATGCTAACTGTGGATATTTTGATAATAAACTAAATAGAAGAATATTGAGCCTACAATTTCAAATACTGAAAATGAGAAATTATAGGCTATTTGCAGAAAAAAAAGTGGTGTATTATCATTGATGTGTTAACTAGTCTCTATTTTTCAATTTACTGAAGAAGTTCATAAGTAACTTTGTTCAGCATATTCATGGAAGTGATGTGATGCATTAAATGGCATTA